TATTCTTTCAATACTCCGAAGAAGAACTGAACAATCATCTCGGCGAGATGAGATTGGCCGGCACGAGATGCATTATTCTATCTCATTTTCACGCACATCTCGCCGATCGCTGGCCAGTCTGATACCGATCGATGTTCGTCAGCCGTGGACGTATTTGATTCATTCGACGTATCATGTTCAATCGAACTGGTGTAACGAGAGACCTGGCACCCACAGGTAGGCCTTGCCAGGAGGATGGGGGCCCACGATGGGGGAGTGCCATTGCTCTAACATCGCTATCATGCAGCTGTTCCATGAGCTGAAGCAGCAGTTCCCTGCGCTCCCTGATCACGTCGTTTCCCAGTGCATCGCCCAGGTATAGGTGCTCTTTGTCCACCAGATATTCTGCTCCTATGCTGGTCTCTTAGAAAATTCGATCTACACTGTAATAACAAAAAGACGTTGGACGTTGCACACTGTGCAACGATGATGTTGCCTCGAATCTTTCCGAGATGGGCTCTCCTTGATTGTACAGTGTGCCTCGTAACCAGTTTAGTGAGATTTGTTCTTTTCGCTCATCCATCATGACTAAAACAATACTCGTCACATTAACGACTAACCACACCGCGAGTATCGTAACCCCTGGCATTGCAAATTAACGGCTTAGAATTTCTCTCCTCTTTCATTGCACGAGCGTGGAACCTGTGTGTATAGACGTCCTTTGTGTTGGTAATTTGTTTTTTTTTTTTTTTTTTTTTTTCTTTTCTTTTTCTCTAATTGCGCATTCGGGAGATGTCTCTTAATCAGCAAAGATTGACCGCATTAAACTAAATAATACAGCGTCTTTGATTCGCATTGGATTTTCTGGGTTTCTTCGGTAGTCACCAAAGGTCTAGTTGTCCTTAGTTAAAATGGAACCTATCATTCCGAAGTTAAAGAAAACTGAAGTTTTTTATCACTCTTTTTTCTTCTCTTTTTTTTCTCTTTTTAGTACAATCTAAAATGTAATCAATTATTTTGTAGTA